TCCACGTGCCAATTTGTCCAATCATATGTAAAAATATGATTTCACGGTGGACTACGATTTCACCGTCCGCGATGGACTGGGGATTGCGCGCGCGGTCAGACATAACTCTTTGGTACGTTCACGGAGTACATCCACTTTATGCAACCAACCTAACATATATGACATATTGAATGCATACTATTTAGATTTTTTATTGATTTAATAAATACATTATTTTAAGTTTACAGTTTGAAAATATCTGGGGGGGAGGCGGAGTCCCAGAGTCCTCCTTCACGAGCCGCCACTGCTAGGGTGTCAATGAGGACAAACTAGTGAAAATATTTTCACTGCTTTTATAACACTTTGTAGAGGCGACAAATCAGTATATGGGTTTCAAAGTCAAAAAAGGAAAAATTTGTAACGTGATTTGGTAGTGTTGTTGATGTGTCAATAAGGATATGCCGTTGGGGTGCCTGTAGCGTTTTCAGCGGTTTTCAGAGTTATTTTGTGATTTATGATCTAAATATTTTCCGAAAATTCTCATCTGATGAAGTCGTATGCGCTCTTTGACACCTGTACCCAGTTATGTTTAAAAAACAGTAAGTTGTTGATGATATTGTAGTACACAACTACTTTGCGGACTAATGCCCCGTCCAGGATCTAATTACACCCGCAATATATATTAATTAGTGATTTTTAGACTTGATTTTGAAGCAACTACCATTTCAAGTAAAGTTATTACTGCATTTCTATGAGCGGTTCCACAAAAAAAAGTTTTTTTTTTTCATGCGAAGAAGCTACCATTCTGTGGCTCATTTGTTTACGGACATCCTGTAGATAGGATTTTCAGAAGAACAGGGAAAATAAAAAAATGCTGTTGTAGTAAAAAGAGAAGATAAAACATCATCATGAGCTACTGCGGCAAGAATTTATTATAGTCTACTTAACATCAAAATCACAACACTCATAATTCGAATTAAGAGATGGATGATTAAGGGCTCATCTGACTCAGGATGACGTCTAGATGTGCACAAAAGTCGTATTCGCACATAAACCATTGGAAGTTATAAACATATAAAGATTAAAACAAAACTTCGTTTTTTTGCAAATAACTGGAAAAATATAAGCGTTAGTGTCAATGCGAAAAAAGTCCCTAAAGAGGAAATTTCCTATAAAAATGTCCCACCTCGCGAATCTCTATAGTCATTATTTATAACTTAATTTAATGTTGAAAATAGAGTTTTTAGAGTCGAAAGCAATGCACGTATCTACTGTGCCTCGATACTGATCTTCTTAAGACATATTTTTTTTATGATATTAGATGTTAATATAAAAATTTCAAAAAATTGTCGTATTTAGACAATTAAATAAAAAAACGTTTTCATCGATTTTTCAAGAAATAGGACCATTGTTATTTAAGGAGGTTTATGGGGTACGGAGGTACGTCTAAAGTCTAACGAAAGTTTCTGTAGATTCGCTAGTGACTAAAGTCGTAAGCCTTTAGATTTGGCAACGTTGCACTTGGCTGGCGCGCTCGGTTCGGCGTTCCTTCGCTCCCGTTCGATCATTCTATTTGTTTAGACACCTGCGAATTTCAAATAATACGCTACGTCGAGACCGCGGCGTTGCCGCTATCACGCATATGGAGGATAAGTTAGTCAACGACAGCAGTTTGAAGGAGAATTATTATAAATTATGTATCTTACAAGTACCTAATCGATTTCTATAAGCTGTCATACGGTTCCTTAGATATCGGTTTCCTATTTATACAAATTGCTGTGGAAACTGTTCGTCAATTGTTGCGCATTCTAAGTGGAAAGACCAAAAAAATCTGCATTCTCATAAGACTTATTTTATTAATATCTCGTGTCTTAGGTATCCAAACTAGTCATATATTTTTTTTTGATGATTTTCTTCATATTAATAAGCTTATATTAATTTTTTTATGAATATTTGTTCGTCAATTCCAAATCAGATAAACCTCCTTAAGAAAAAATAGTACTTTAAAATTATAATTTTTGAAAAAACTAAATTGCAAATTGATAAATGTAATATAATTGTTTAAAAATAAAAAAAAGAGTTAACTTTAAAAACATACTGTGGCCGTCCTAATCAACCGAAGGTTGAACGGTCTTTTCTATGTGAAAAAATTTTCAAGTATCTAGATGCTTTATTTGAAGCTGTACATTTTGAAAATTCGAAAATTTCTTTTCAAAATTTTTTTCAAAAAATTATTTTGCGAAAACTATGGAACCGATTTTAATGAAATTTGATGTGCTGTTTAATAATACTCTAGTTTTTTGTTAAATTAAATTTAAATTAAATTGGAATGCCCTCGGAGAATTAAAATATTTAAAAAAAAATGTATTATTTTATTATTTGCTTTTTTTTCATCAATTATTGCTATTTTGCAACATCGGTAATAAATTTAAGCATTTTTAACTTACAGTATACAGTATACAGTAAACTTTTTTATTTTCCTCTTCAATATTCTCCCAAAATGCATAGGTTCCAAGATATAAGTAAAAAACTCAAATAAAGTAGGTATTTTTAAAAAAATTTTAAACGTTTTTGCAATTTCGAAAATGTTCCGGGCCTCGCCCAGACCTAAGGATCTACACTTTTATTATGCGAGTTGTACTGAAGGTAACCCAGGAAAAATTTGCTTGCCCTCTCTCACATCTACCTCAAGACAGACCTGCACTGGTCTATAAAGCAGCTGCAACACCCTTTGGCCTATCTGAATTTCTTAGAATGCCGTTTGGCTTGCGAAATGCACCACAAACATTTAAAAGATTTATTAAAGTCGTTTTAGGTTCAGATTTTGCATTTACCTAAATCTCTACTCATTTCAATGACTTTCTTCTGCTATCTCTTAACAAACATGCCCTGATCCTACTCACCATATGTATTTATACTCGAAACTCTTTCCTATCACAGGGTCCTTCTTCCCGTCGAACCAGAATTGGCAGTACGTCACAACCGTAGGTTCTATCCTGTCGATCATGCCCAATATCCTGACGGTCGGTCCCAGTCTATTGTTAGCCCTCTTGTCTAAGTACGCCCCGTACAACTGGAAGGTCCCGTTGGAAGTCCGCAGGGTTTGCCAGTAGAGGTTGTTGAATTCCAAATCAAACATCGAAGGAAACCTAAAAAAAATCATATTCGAGGTATAAGCGATTTTCCAAGTCTTTGAACGTTGAATCAGACATTAACTTGTAACAAATTTTCTAAAACAACGATACCGACCTCGCGCAGGTATTGTTGAGCCCCATGGGCTTATTCTTGTTCTTGTTCCAATACACTATGGGCAGATTGGGCATCCTCTTCTGGATATCCTCTATAAGGTTATCCTCGGACAAACTGGGACTCTTATCCACGAACGGTTCCAAGTCCATGCTCTCCGTGGTACTGTCCGCGTGCCTCGTGAGGGGATCCAACCGCTTCTGGAGGAGGAACCTGCTGTTGAGGTGGGGCACCGGTACGTCTATGGAGAAAGACCTGAACTGGTAGAGGGTGTAGATGATGAGGGCCCAGAGGATGCCGAAGGTGAGGATCTTAGTGAGGAACCTGCCGCTTATGGCCTTGCAACAGAGCATCTTGAGAAATGTCGGGGATCCTGAAAAAAAATTAATATTTTAGTTGTAAAATTTATAAAAAAAATATTTTAATAAAATATAATATAAAATAAAAAATTTAAGTTTTAATAAAATTTTAATAAAAGTTGCCTAGAATTATGTGGGCCATGTAAAGAAAATATTTTTAGCTTTCCAAGGAATTCAAAAACGCAACAATATACAGGGTGTTCTTTAAAAAACACAACTTAGATTTCTATACACGAAATGCAACATGCTCAGCAACAATTCAATTGTTTTTTACATATATATTTCTTTGAAATATCAAGAATGTTTTCAAAATTTTTGGTCTTTAACATTTCTTCCTAGATAGAAAGGTAAAAAAATTAGAGGAGTAGAGTTTTATGTAAATGACCGTGTGCTATCTTATTTGTGCTTTATTTACTTTTTTTAAATATTTTGATAACAGAAACTGGTAATATAAAGTTTTCTGGAAATTATAAACATTTTTTTTATTTAATGAAATATTATATTCACCTAAAAATCAGTGAAACATATCCTATTATTTTTTTTTAAATATAAGTATTCATCAGTATTAACCTCCATCATGCGCATCGCTGTAAAATGTTAATTGCGTCCTCTAGATTTTTTTTTAAATTAAAACCGAGATAACGGCTCCAGAAGGTCGTGGAAGAACATTTATTTTTTTTCAAATTCGTAAAAAAATGTCACAAATGTCTCTTTAAATGTCATTTTCATAAAATAAACATTGAAATAGTTATTTGAAAAAAAAAACGTGCAATTTTTTCAGTCATATATATTTTACAATAAAGTAAAAAAACTACAAAACCTAATAATAATTAATATTTATTTGGTAAAACATTGTGACTGTAATTCGACGTTGGTTGGTGTATTAATCCACAGAGTAGTGAGTTTCCAACAATATTATATACCTATATTTAGAGTGTGAATGTGGGATTTAGTAAAAAAAAGGGTAATCACATTTTGCAACTAAAATTCAAAAAAAGGATACAATGATAACGATGTTGCTACTGTTGTAGTTATAAACTCTGTACAAGACAATTCAGGAAAAAATCGGAAAACACAGATATTAGTTGATCTCATATTCAAAAAATTTTAAAATGCTACAAAATATCCATTTAAACTAGTGTTTAATTATAAATTGCTTGATGGAGATCATGGTCGTCGTTTGGACTTTTGTTTAACAATGGGCGAGAAATTGAAAACATATTCTTTCATCACAATATTTTACTTACTTATTGGCGAATCAACATTCACAACTAATCCTCTCAAAACTGTAGATACTGGGCTAAAAATGTTCAAAAAAATAAATGTCTGGTGTGGCATAACGTATTATAAAATAATTGGTCCTTACTTTTTGGAAGAAAATCTTAATCAAAATTCGTATTTGGAAATTCTCAATAATTTTGTTCTAACAGAACTAGATAGCGAAAATTTGAATTCAGAAGAAAGCTAATATTTCAACACAACGGATGCCCTGCAGGGTATGGACCAATATCTTGGCTTTCACGGTCACCCGACTTGTCCCCATTAAATTATTTCGTAGGGCATACCTAAAGCTTATTTAAGCAAAAAATGGACAAGAAAAGAGATCAGAAAAATGTGTATTACTTAAAGGTTTACAAATTGAATAGGACTTGCTTCATTGTTGGTGTTAATTTTAGTTCTAATTTGTTATTTTTTTAATTAGAAAAGCTACTTTTATTTGGTTTTCAGGCTATTTTTATATTATATTAAATTTAAAATAAAAGTTTACTTATTTTTTACAATTTCTATGCCGTCATACTTTATTATTTCCCAATAAACTACTCTTCATCGTAAAATTTCGCAATATTTTTGTTCGGTTACTTCCGTTACTAATTTAGAAACGCAATTTGTTTTATTAGTAAAATTTTTATTTTTATTTTCCCACACAAATTTTCACTATTAACAAACTAGACTGTTTTTTAACATTATCTAGATAGGTAAATGTAGGCAAAGCAACAGAAGTTAGTCCGTATCTCTACGATATTTTCACGAAAACTGAATGAAATATTTTTAATCAGACCATTTTATTTAAGTACCTTCAATAATCAAAAAATCTTTGTACTTTCAGGTAATTTTTTGTACTTTTTGTAATTTAATACGTACTTTTTGTAATTTCATACATACTTTTTGTAATTTTTGTAATTTACCAAATAATTTGGTAATTTTTATACTTTAATAAATAATTTCTATACTTTTAAAGTAATTTTAAATTATAATATCTCAAACGTACACCAAAAATTACTTGTGGCACACCCCTCGTTAGCAACGTTCCACTGAACAAAATTAACTCCTCTTTAATTCGATTTTAT